CACATTGGCAATTCTCTCAGATATGACCGGAAGAATGAGCCGTCGGGAGTTCAATCTCCGTCCACATCTCATCCTCGTCCCAGTTTGTCGTCTTGTAATAAGTCGCATAAAGAACAAGCTGAACTAATCCCGACAACGTTCCCAAACCATTTGGAACCTACAAAAATAAGATGTTACAATCTAAAAGCTTAAATCGTCGAAGATGAAGAAAATATAATACATATATTGATAACTTTACCATGACGTAGGGATCAAACTTGATGAGTGCGTATGAAAACCAGATTAAGCCATTTGAAAAGTTGGCTAGTGACAAGAAAAATGGCATGTATTTTACACTCTTGGTATTGATAACTCGTCGCTGAGAAAATTGAGATGGAAAAAAAAAAAAGAATTAATGAAATTGGTAATAAAATAAATTTGTGTAAATTAAGATGACAACAGAGCTGTTTGTGCGGATGAATTGTACAGACAACTTTACAGATGATGAGATAGCAGCATTTTAACGGCTGGATTAACTGTGTTTTTTGTCAAATATGGTGTGAGATCTTGACACCTGTAATTTATGTAAACCAGGTGGTGTATGTAGCATTTCTCTTAAGATAAAACTTGAAAAAGAAGTGAAGAAAAATTAGTACCATGACAGTCAAGGGTGATGTATACATGATTATGTTGAATATGATGCACAATATTCCAATGAGCATTGATCTATCCTTGTGGCCATGGAGAAATGTCAAGGTGATGAAGACCACAATCAACAAGAATGAGAGCTCAACGATCAAAGCAACGGTAATCTTTTTCTGAAATTAACCAAATAGAGGTCGGGTTTGAGTTAGTATAACCATTTCATCTAAAAACTTAAACTGTCGAAAAAATGTGACGTGTAAACCGTTTAATCTAAAAGTTTAAGTTGTGTGAAGTGTCAAAACTCAAGAATGGATTAAAAAGTAGAGATGGAACGTACGCGCATGGCCCAATTGGAGAAGAGGAGGAAGATGGTGATATAGGCGATTTCAATGACGAACCCTATGCCATTAATAGTGAAGACCAGAAGGCTGTCAGGATGAACAATGGGAAGACCATAGAACACCCACATGGCACAATTCAGCACTGTTGCGACGTATGGATCTGGTTTGAATCCTTGCACAGATTTACCTTTCCAGATCTTGATGAATGTTGGGCTGCAAATCGATTACATCACATGTGTGTTAGAGAAATCAACAGAAGTTCCAATTTTTGCATGTGTGTTTTGTGTGTAAAATCTGTGTCAGAGAGTGAGAATGAAAGAGAGAGCGATTACAGAGGGGAGAGGAAGAGGAACAATGAGATGATATTGCCTGCTTATAGAAACAAAGAAGGAAAAGTCAAGATAGACACATGTATTAATTTAAATATCGTCTCCCTGATCCATTTTCATGACAAGAATCAAAATATCGCTCATGCAATGAGAGTCTTCTGTTAGATTTTAAGCGCAAAATAATAGAAAAGGTGAGATAGATAAATCAACACAAGAATTTAATGTGGTTCGACGATGTGTCTACGTCCACGAGGAGCGAAGAGGATATTTTTATTCAATATGAATAATGTGGTTATATCATTAATATTTATATTAACCATAGCCCAAGTCTATACAAGATTTTAGTGCTCATACAAGAAAAAAATACATCTTTACCGTACTCCAGGGGCAACGTCATTTGCAAACAAACAGTGAATTAAACCCACAAGACCGATGCCGTCACTCCCCTCACTCTACTTTACTCTAGCATCGACCATTTTGATCAAGTAAACCCATGTTTCACTCTATCGAATGTATCCAAGAGTGACTAAGCCAGAACTTTCATAATGAATTTATATTATATTTAAAAAAATTCTAAATTTCGACATAAATTTAAAAAAAAATGTCAAATGGTTGGGGGAACGGTAAAAATCCATCCTAGCATTTATCTTTATTAATGACACATTTAATTTAATTACTATTGTTGATTAGACCATTGTATTTTGATGACAACTCAAAGCTTAAAGGATTTTGACTTAGATCTCTCATTTATGCATAGGTGTAAAGATAGAACATAGTGGTGTGTTGTTTGTTCTGAGTCCATTAAGCAGTTAGAACTGTTTGTAATAGAATTCCCTAAGGAAAATAAATAAAATTGAAAAAGTTTCAAGTATTGTTACGTATGCAAAAATTTATCTATAAATGCCTCGTAATAATTAGTTGTCTAGGACCTCAAAATTCTCAGGACCGACACTGCCGCTGCACATGGCTCCGCCACTATGTCCAAGTCTTGTCCTAACAACGACATGAAACATTTTCCGGAAAAGACGGATCAAGCTATGGAAAACAAAATGAAATGAATCAAAACTACGAACCAATGATTCCGACAACTGTTCTAGATGTTTCTGCGTCCACCATCTTGGAGCCTCGAAAGATAATCACACCAGAAAAACGATAAGAGGTGTGAAAATTAATGATAGGAGGACAAGATGTTGAAACAGATTATGAAGATGTGGGAAAATAAGGGCATTTGAAGAATTATGATGAAGCTTGTTATACTGGTACTAAATATGGGTTAATGGATTTAATTAGGCATGAATTATAGCCAAACAATAATTACTTGACCAGAATAAATGGATAATTCATGGTTAGGGATTTTATTGCCTTCCTATTCTTTTGGAGATTAGTTATTAATTCGACTGGTTTGTAATATTAGGGCATATTGGCACTAAATTTGGACGTGTGTTAGTGCATGCATTAAAGTTGTTTAATTATTTGTTGGATTAGCATAACTAATTATTTCTTGGATGGGGGCGACCTCACCCATGCCCTGGGGGTCGAGCCCTTCTTGACTTCGTCCGGACGACCAATGATCCAAGCCCAACCATGGGTCTCTCCTACCGTGCACCCGACCATACCATAAATCCTGATATTTGGGTGTTTGTTTGTTTTTTTCAAACTATCTAATCATGTATCGACACGTGTCCCCCCACCCCCCATTTTCGATCCTGTTTTTGAGCCCTTAGTGTAGCATGATTGAATGTTTCATCTATCTATGTTCTTGTACTGCTGTTTCATTTTCTTTGGGGGGGGGGCCGTATTTGGATTTTTACTGTCAATAGAGGTTTTAGTCCTATATAACCTTTATTCATGTCTAACTAATACAGATTCAAGAAAACATGAAGGCTATTAATGTCATTTCGCTGCTTACACCTGAGATGCTGGAGAAGATTGAGGCTGATTTTCAGAACAGACCGAAGCGTCCAGATTCATATAGGTATAGATAATGTGGAACCAATCTATGGGCATGTCGCACTCTATTGCTAAAACCCGTCAGCAAATGGCGTTTCCATTTTATGCCAAAGAGTGGGAATCTTGGTTGTTATCAAATACATTTACTGTTATAAGCTCTGTTTGTTTTCTGAATATGTACTTTGATCTTTACATCTTTCATGGTAACTGGATTTTTGTAAAATAGTTACAGCAGCAGCTGCAGGAGTTTATTGTGGCATTTTAAGATATTTTTGCGTAATAATATTATTCATAGTCAGCGATTACAGCTGTCATCTTATATGGCATCGTACGTGGCATAATTTTAATAATTTAAAAAGGAACAACTTTTAATAATGAGTAATATTATTCATAGTCAAGGATTACAATAGTTATCATATGTGAGGTAAATAATAAGTTGTCACATATGATGACTACTGAAGTCGCTGACTATGAATATAGTATTACTCTTTAATAATGTTATGTCACGTATGATGACTACTGTAGTTCTTGACTATAAATAACATTACTGATATTTGTAGTATATTTAACCTGGCCCTTTTTGTTTTTGTGTGTGTTAATTCAAATCCCCACAAACTAGGGAATGCAATTATCCAACTACAGTTAGTACAGTCACGCGAAAATAAAGTCATCATATTGTGGGGAATATAGCAGCAAAAGTCACAATGCAAGTCTGCAAAAGCCAAAAAGAGATGTAATATTTGACAATACCCTGCGTTCTGCGCACTTCAGAAACTGGCCAATTGAGACTATACACCGCCTTCAAGTGCAAGGACTCATTTCGACCACGACAATCTGGAACCCGAGAAAAGGCCGTCTTGAATCGCTATTGCCTCTGCATTCTTCTCCTTCCCAAATTGCACTACCGTCCTCTTTGAATGCACAAGCAACCCAAATTGGCCTCCCTCACCACCACATCTATGTTCAGTGGGTAGTCTGGCCGGGTTTGGCATACCATTCCCATACTTTTCGGAGATTTGAGGAAGCAGGATGGTAAAAAAATAATAAACAAAGCAATTTTATCATCTGTGTAATTATTTATTTTTTAATATGATTTATATCTTTTAAACACATTTGATTGAAAGAAATGAAAGTTAGATAAATTGATTTGATGTCAAGACAGGAAATTTTGTCGTCTCTGCTCCTAATTTCAAACGAGGTGCACGAAGCGGCTTCCACATCGGTGGCACACTGTTTCGATGGGAATGGATAACTCTTGAGTAATGATATTTTGTACATAGATCTAATAAAATTTATTTGAATAAGCAATTTAAGGGGGTTATAACTTATAAGTTCGGTCAAACATTCTCGAATCATTAAAATGGTAGCATTTTGTAATTTTCATCGATTTGTTTGAAGTGGCACATTAGTACTCCATGAACTTATAGTGGTGCCAAAAGGACCATGACAAGTTGACCTCATGACTACTCGTACTCAACCAATGCAAGTATCGTATAGTTTTCTATAATATTTATAAATAAAATATATTTATAAATTGACCAAGTCTATGCATATGCAAGCCCAAACGGGAAGAAACTAGCCCCGCTTATGTCTCTGCATGGTCGACCGTTTTCGAGTGAAGAGCAAAATGTCGACAAAAATGCGCATAGATGTTCTGATTTTTTTCTTCTGTAATTTAACTTTTGATCATACAATGAAAAATATTTGATTCCACGAGGTAGTATATGTTGGGGCAAACAAGTCCCAC